GGGTCGTGATTTGCGCCCATTTTGGGGCTGGTTTTGGGGTGTTTTGGGGTGTTTTTGGGGCAGTTTTGGGGCGGTTTCGGGTCGTGATTTGCGCCCATTTTGGGGCTGGTTTTGGGGTGTTTTGGGGGTGTTTTTGGGGCAGTTTTGGGGCGGTTCCGGGTCGGGATTTGCGCCCATTTTGGGGCTGGTTTTGGGGTGTTTTGGGGTGTTTTGGGGGTGTTTTTGGGGCGGTTTCGGGCCCGTTTCGGGTCGGGATTGGCGCCCCAGCCGCCGCGGTGCCGCCGCAGGCCTGCATCGACGAGAACATGGAGGTGGTGCAGTTCCTGGTGGAGAGCGGCGCCGACGTCAACCAGGCCGACAACGAGGGCTGGACCCCGCTGCACGTGGCTGCCGCCTGCGGCTGCCGGCACATCGCCCAGTGAGAGCCCCGGAACCGCCCGGAAACAGCCCCGAAACAATCCTTGAACAACCCCAAAACTGCCCCGAAACAGCCCTGAAATTACCCTGAAATTACCCCGGAATTACCCTAAAATTACCCCAAAATTACCCTGAAATTACCCTGAAACAGCCCTGAAATTACCCCGAAATTACCCCAAAAATACCCCGAAATTACCCCGAAATTACCCCGAAATTACCCAAAATTACCCTGAAATTACCCCGAAATTACCCCAAAATTACCCTGAAATTACCCTGAAATTACCCTGAAATTACCCCCAAAACAGCCCTGGAACAACCCTGAAACTGCCCCGAAACAACCCCAAAATAACCCCTGAAACCACCCCAAATTCACCTGAACCGCCCCGAACTCACCTGAGCTCGCCCGGAACCGACCCAAAATGAGCCAAACTCACCTGAATTCACCCCAAACTCACCTGAATTCACCCCAAACTCACCTGAATTCACCCCAAACCCCCTGAATTCACCCCAAACCCCCTGAATTCACCCCAACCCCCCTGAATTCACCCCAAACCCCCTGAATTCACCCCAAACCCCTCCCCTGAGCTCACCTGAGCTCACCTGAGCTCACCTGATCTCACCTGAGCTCACCTGTCCCCAGGTACCTGCTGGAGCACGGTGCTGACGCCGCTGCCGTCACCAGTGACCTGGAGCTGCCGCTGGAGGTGGCCGAGGACGAGGCCCTGGAGGAGCTGCTGAGGGCGGAGCTGCAGCGCAGGGGTGGGCGGGGCCTGAGGGGGCGGGGCCTGAGGGGGCGGGGCCTGAGGGGG